GGGCTGCATTGGAAACCAGTGGCGCCCTAATCAATTCAGTCAAAAACTATTACCTGCCCACTGCAGGACACCTTTTTTTTATAAGCAGCCATCCTGCTCCAGGGACCCGGTCCGGGTCTCTTGGTTCCGAAAGCCCGGCCGGCTCGCCAGGCCCAGTGAAGCCGGCAGCTGTGCATTAGCATTTTGTTTTTGCTGCCAGTTGATCACTTTAGTTTAATTTGCATCCGCTTAGATATAAATATTGCTTAAGGAACAAAAAAAATACACTTAATTGTATTTATATCGCCGTTCTAGTGCGATGGATCCAAATTAAAGTGCATGAAATAGTTAGCATGTTTTTCCTCTGCTGGAATATTTAACGAGAGTCTGTGGGATTTGTCTCCATGTCGAATCTCTTCCAGCTTTCATTTAATGCACGTTAGAAGAAAAGAGATCCAATCAAGGATGAGTATCAAGTTGTGCAATTAGGCGCCTGTCTGGGGAGAAGCCAGGATATGGGGAGGCGGAGCAGGGAGGAGAGGAGCAGAGAGGAGAGGAGGAGGAAGCAGAGGAGCAGGGAGGAGAGGAGAAGAGGTGGGAGGAGAGGAACAGCTAGCAAAGGAGCAGAGAGGAAAGGAGGAGGAAGCAGAGGAGCAGGGAGGAGAGGAGAGGAACAGGGAGCTGCTGCTGATCAAGACGGGATGAGCTCCAAAGTTTTCATGTTGGGTAACATCATCTGTGGATGAGGGAGACTGAATTGGCCAACAGTGTCCCAAAGATCTGGCAATCGGGTAGATATATGCCAGCAAAGTGAGTCGTTTCAGGAGAACCACAGCATTAAATTAACTTAACATCTTGCAACCTCACCACCGTCTACTTGTGGGGGGATGCTTTTCAATTAACAGATACCCTCGAAGTTTCCCGTAAGGAAAGCAGGAGGGTAAATAACACGAACTGGGTGCTATTTTTAGCTGTTACTTCAGGCTGTGTCCGTCTGGAATGGACCATCCATTTAGGGGGAGAGTCGGTGCAGAGTCTCCGGGGCTGGGGGCCTCCATGATGGCAGGGCTGCGCTGCCTGCGCCGCATTTTGTGTAAAGCAGAAAGTAAACAGTAGAGCAGATTTCGTTGCCCGTGGAATTACATTCTGCAAACAGAGCTTTGATTCCCCAACGGTGTTTTAAAAAACCAAGCTTTGATTTACCCGCATTGTTTAAAATCCTGCTTTGATGCCCTGTAGCATTGCGCTAATCCTCGCGCAGGGTTAAGTCAACACATCAATGTTTAAGGCACGTGGAAAGCTGTTGGGAGTGGATGGGGTCTCTATTTAGACGCAAACGCATTGGATGAGGGGATATACATACATGGAATGATATGTGGGGGGTGGGGGGGGGGCCGGACTAGGTGGAGGTTGTGGGTTTGAAGGAATAAATCATTAGAAAAAAAGGTTATTGGAAATTCAGAGAGATAAAAGACTGGAGAAGCCTGTAATTGCCTTAAAGATCAGACTACAAAGCATTACTGTGGATTTTACAAGGCCAGCCAGCAACAAAAGAGCGGTAATTTATGAGCTCAGCGTAAAAGAATAGCATAATTGCATTAAAAATTAATGCTAATGAGCACTAAAATGGGGAAGGTGGTTATTATGAAAGTTTGTATTCATCATCTTGGGCTTGAATGATAGCTGGTGCCTTGATTAATGGCTTAATTTCTATCAATTAGCAGGCAAAAAAATCTCCTGTGAGACAAGGGCAAATTGAGCATTGAATTACATATCTTGCTGCGGTTGGGGGGGGAGGTTCTGTGACTTGCCGCCTGTCAGGGAATAGACACTCTATGTGGGGTGGGGTGGGGGGGGATGTGTCAGAGAAAGTAAATGGTTTGTGGTAAGTTAATTATTTGCTTATGTGTCAGTAAAAAACGTGCAGTGAGCATCTACCGTGAGCCCTCTGTACGGACTACCCGCTGGTCCGAGCGGTTCTGACTAAGTTCTAAACAGTCTGCTGGTACAGTGCCGCCGCCCCCCCCCCCCCCCCCCCCCATCCTCATCCCGAAACCCCTGTCCGGTCCAAACGAGACTCTGCATCAGCCTCACATCACAGCCCGGCCCCAGGAAAACAGTTCAGATGCACCTCCGAGCCCCTGTATGCTGTTAAATCGTGGCTGTTTTACTGCTGCTCTGCGTGTTCTTACAGTGAGTATGTTACTCGTTTGTTTGATGGACGGCTTGTGTGATACTTACTGTTTACTTGCTGCCTACCTTTTCCCTTGTTTTTAGGCAGTGACATAATTAAATGCTGTTATATAGCAGCCATTAGCAAAGAAATTGTGGTTTGTGGCATTAGAAAGCTCTTTTACGTTTTCACTTATTTGTGACTCAGTTCAGCTGAAGGTTTCGCTCGAAAAGCAATACATTAATTTTGTTTTCTTATTTGTAGCTGATTTAATTATGAAAATCAATCAGCAGCAGTAATAATTTCCACTCCCTCCTTTATACAGCGACAGACCTTGTACCAAAGTCATGTTTTTTTCTTTCCACGTTACCGAAATCTGCTTGTCTGTTGTGTAACAGTGCCCTCTTCTGTATGAGGATTGCTACTGCATCAGCTGCCACTGAAGAGAGTCCTCCATGAATATTTCCGTTAATTCTTTTCGTGTTTTGCCCAGGCCCTCTGACAGCTGAGTGAATAGTTGTTAAGAAGCTATAGTAAATGATTATTACTGATGTATCGGTCACTTTTATGATTGTTTACAAACTGACTTTACAGCACCTATAACTTCTAAGGAGTCGTAGACTTGTGTGTGGCCGATGGTCAGCTTCCTAAAAGACCAGCGAGTTAATAAGCGAAATCGGAACGGCCGCCCGCTTGGCCGTCTCCCCTTCCTGTGGCCTTGTCTCCAAAGGGCGCTCTTAGTAATGCCAGGATGATTGACTCGGCCTGCTAAATTAATTTCCCAGATAACGTGTCAATATTAAATATCAACTTTGACCTCCCGGGCCACAGCCTACCCGGCTCTGCATATCGACCCCCCTCCCCCCTCCCTTCTCTGCAGCCCGCCGGGGCTCTCTCAAAGTCCATTATTTTTGATTTTCCTATGAAATACATATCTTTCCCACTGACATCTGACAAACAGCATATGGAAGTCATTTTATCTACCAATAATGTGTTTGTCAAAAAGTATGAGGTTTTAATAGGATCCTCTTCCTAGGCCGTCCACCCTCTAGCTGAGGAGTTTGTCATTGATATATCTCGATAGATTTCTCTGGGAACTGCTTTTTTTTCCCGGTAATTGTACGCTCTCTGCCATTAAGGATCGCAGAAGCTAGATTTCCGTGCAATATTAATAGACGGCTGATTGAGAGGCGTCCGGCCACGAAGCTACATTAGGCTCCGGGCTCCGAACTGCGCTGCTGTCATGTGAAGGACAAGCCCCAGCCTACTAAAGGATATTGTGCCTGTTTAACTCTCCATCTGGCTTCAGAATCAAGGTAATAACTATTTTTGGGGCTCTGGTGTTCATTTCACTGTCCTCAAGCTACCGGACGTGCTGTCAAAACTTGAACGCTAATTCCGACTGTCAGTCAGTCAGTCGTTAAAGTCTCCACAGTGGAAAAATAACTAAAACGCCTCCTGCCTCTTTCCCTTAATCTGCCGTCATCGCTGTTGTCGCTTTTACAGATTTAGAAGGAAAAAAAAAACCATTTGGAAGTCGCCGCTTGGCTCGCACGCGGCAGAGGTGCAGAAACGGCACGTGTGAAAACGTGCGCCGAGCGAAACCAGAACAGATATTCATATATTCATTAAACACGCAGCCTGGGGAAGGAGAACGCGGCACGGCGCTTAGCGGATGAAATTAATTTCACTCATTAGTAGCAAATAAAAGCTTTGGCTTTGGGACAGGAATTCTGTCACTCTGCGTTCTGCAGACTACCGCTTTTCCACCGTTATATCCCAGCCTGTTACAGCGCGGCCAGGTTTCGGCATCATAAACACGGCCAGCACGCAGAGGGACAGATAGCGGAGAGATTTACAGGTCGATGGATGAAAGAATGAAGGGAGGATGAATGGGCAGCTGTGTCGATTGAAGGGTGGAGGTATTGATGGATTTCTGAATAGACTGTCAGGTAAAGAATAACTAACAGGTCTGTATATAATGGTTACAGAACACGGTTTGACGGGAGCGGGGGTCGTGTGCTCACTCGAGTGTAAAAACGTCAAAGGTTTCTAATACCAGAAGGTCACGTTTTGTGAGTAGGGCTGATAAACCCCTGAAATTGATATTTAAACTGTTGGATTAGGCTACATGAATATGATAACTGTGGATCCTGACCTGAGACCTTCAGGGAATTGCACCCAATAATTGCACCTTCTCATAACTATGAGTGAAGCAATATGTTTCCCACCTCTGAGGGGCCTCACAGCTCTCAGGCTGAACACACCTGGCACTAAAAGGCTCTGTGAATACGTGTAGAGATGTCTGGGGTCTGAATGTAGCTGAGGAGATTCTGGAACACGGCGTGATCAGAAGATGTGATCAGTTGTTGGAATGTGCTCGTGGTTAGAACTGCAGTGGAGGTCACTGTCCTATATCCAGGTCCAGGCCAGCAGAAAAAGTCGGGTCAGGCAGTGCTTGGCAGACAGTGTGGCCCTGAAGGAGGGTCCGGTGCTGAGAGCGGAGCTCTGGCCTCAGGAATTGGGATGGGGAGCGTTGTGCTGCCTCTGCTGGTCACCTGCCCCGTGTGGCCTTCGGCGAGACTCGAGTCAAACCCCAGACGTTGTGGGAGACCTCTGGTTTCCACCAGCCAAGGAAGCAGGGGGGGACAGACAGAGAAAATGAAGGATTACTTTTTCAATTGTACGCGCTACATATTACATGAAAGACATCACATCCAGGGGAGCAAAATCAAATTCCCCCGCACGGGTGATCGGCACCGAGACGTGCGGCACACCTGCCACCGGTGCCGCGCAACAATGTGGTGATGGTCCGACTTCCCCCTCCCTCTTTTGTCTCCCGTTTTAGAGGAGGCGTCGCTGGAGGAGCAAGTAAGGAGGATAAAGGACATCGAAGCCATCGAGAGCGAGTCCTTTGTTGCTCAGGCTTTCAAATCAACCAGAGACGGCAAAAAGGTGGGCTCTCTCTCCAATGGCTTTATTTGATTTGGTCCATTTATTCCATCTGTCCGCAGATGAAATGAACAATTCCGTTTGAATGCTGTTGTGCGGGCGTCTGGTTTGGGAGTTGGTCTTTATCTGCTGGGTGCACAAAAGGGGAAGACAATCACAATAGGCAAAGTGGCCGCTGCCTTAGAGAACAGACACTTGGAAAGGTCCCCATTCTCCCCGGCGATACGGTCACAACGCAGAAGTCATTATTGAAATGAGCCAAGGAACGCAAAGCCATTTGATCTCAGGGTAATTGTTGCTGATCCATAGAGTTTCCAGCTGCAAATCGTTTGATTGCTTTACCCTTGGCGTTAGACTGGCTCTCTCCCCCCCTAATCCTTAGTGTGGCTCTTATGTATGTGGTTCAACAGAACCTTAAGGAAAAAAAGTCTTTGAAAAGTGGAGGGGGGGGGGGGGCTTCCTGAGGATTCATAGCCGATGTTTGTATGTCCATGGGCAGTCCTGAGGGGAAAACAGAGATATTTTGCCTCTCAGATAGCAATTAACATATTCAGAGTGCCATATGCTTTGACTTCCTGTTTCAAACGAGTTTTAATTAACAGTGACGCACTAAGGTAAAGCAGCAGTCAGCTGACTGTGAGAGTCTGCAACTGGAGCGCTTCACATTCACTTTGATGGAGCCGAGAAACGGCGAGATCAGCCTTTGTTTATCATCTAACGCACAGCTTGAGTTGTGAGGAAGGGGCATCTGTCAGACCCTTGCCTTTACTGCCATCTTGTGGACATTAAAGGAATGACACAACCCAGTCCTGGGCAGTACATTTTGGCCTCAGAAAACCAATATTTAAAAACAACCGATTAATATTTTTTCAATTAAAATTGCAGCCATACAAGGCATGGCATTGCTGTAGCAGTGTCTTCTGCAACACATTTATTTACGTACCTCCCCTGACATCTTAGGTAAATTTCCTTCATTGTGAAGGAATGCCATTCTTTTAACCACTGCAAATCTTTGTTAGTATTTTGAGTCACTTTAATCGAGTTTGCTTAAATCTGTACAGTGTTTATGTGCTCTACTTTCTACTGGGGCATGCAGTGTGTAAGTGTAATGGGATAGAAGCCCAAACGGTGTGATTCATTGACAGGCTCACAGAGCGCTCGCTGGTCTACCCTGCGGCTCCCTTCTGCAGCTGTGGGGCCCTGTATCACTCTACAGTGCACTGTTCATATTTTCTGCTTTTTTTTTTAGTGAAATATGGAACTGAGGGTTGTGATGTGAAATAACTGTTGTGTGACCTGCAGGCAGCTGAACCAGCAGAAGTCAAACAGGAGTCCGATTCTGAGTCTGATGTTACCGCTGACAAGCTAGAGGTGTCCTTTCCCCTGACCATCCGTTACCAGGACAGTGACACGCTGGCTCACCCCAACGTAAGCCAATGCACATGTACATGCTGTGTTACATTCCTGAGGTTCACGTTTTATTCTCAAAATGCTGAACTCGCACCACAGTGCGCCGGCACTCAGCACCTGTAGGTGTGGTTGCCCACTCAGCTCCGGCCACGCGGGATCCACGGGAGCATCACCCTGCACAGCACCCGCTACTCACAGGACGGCAGACTATGGGGTGAAGCTGACATTGCCAATAGAGAAGAGGCAAAATTAAGCAGAGCTGATGGGTTTAATATTGCCGTGCAGAAGCTGGCAAAAGCTGCTGGGCGATTCATCTCCGGCACTCTGGCAATCCAGTTACCCGTGACGAATGCAGATCTCCCCCGACAGCCTGATCTATGGCTGCAATATGCCGAAGGCGGAGCAGGGAAATTAGGAATAATGATTCAATCATTTAAGCACCACAATGTACTGTATATACTGTAATTTCAAACTCGTTAGCGTCCGGCGGCACAACCGGGTTAGCAAGACTGACTATACGGAGTTCCCCCGCATGCGACCCGACACGCTGTTCGACATGCTCAGCCGCCAGGCGCAGGAGGATCGGCTACTGCGTGGGTCCGGGAAGCACAAGGCGTGGGCATGTGTCATTCTAGTCGCCTGCCGATGGGATTTCTGTCCTGTTCCTCGTTCCCTCCCCATGCTTTGGTTTGCTTTCTTTAATGTTGACTTTGCACGTCTTGCATTTGTGCATCTGCTTTTCAGTCTTGGGGTTCCCTTTTAGTAGTTAGCTTGTCGGATCCGTTAAGTATAGCTTTCCATCTTAAAACTAAAAAAAAGATCGAAAGGGCTTTTAATGCCACCCACATGTTTCATTAAATAGGAAACAGGTTTTCTGCTGATATGCTTATACAGAAACAGTGACCTGTTTTTTTGTCAGGAGTTTGGTGTTCTCTGTACCGTGATGCTGTTGTTGTTTAGATACTTTGTTTTTGCTGCTAGCAAATTTGCCTCCCTTTCCGCTTCTTGCCCTCCTGCAGCTGTTCATGGAGAAGGAGAAGGCGGAGGAGATGTGGATGAGCAGGCTGGTTGCTCTACGGCAGGAGAGGCTCATGGGTAGCCCTGTGCCCTGAGTGCAGCTGGATCCATCGAGACCCATCAGAGAAGTAGCCTGGCAGGATTAGTGCAGTGGGCTTCTGCAGTGAGGGTTTCTGTGAAGCTCACTGCTCACCCCTTTGTACCCAAGGACATTTTCATGTGGATAACCTGATCTGGGAATATGCCTCATTTGTTTCTGATTTCTACTGTAAATTGCAGTGTTTATGCTATGTTTTATTTTTGTGTTCTTTTAGGTTTTGTACCATGTTTTGATTCATTGTTATTGAAATAAACTTCCATCTCTACCAATTTAGTTATTATATGTCTTTTTGTCTTTATTTCAGAAGATGCTACCTTTATAACAGACTAACTGTAATTTGTGCAAAGTCAAATTTCCTGTACAGGAGCCGTAGTAAAGATATGAGAAATGTGTGTATACAAAGTTTGGTAATTCATCGTAATTATAACATTATACTGGAACACTAAAATAACAGCGCGATTTAATAAGTAAGTTTGTAATGAATTAAAATTAAAAACCGGTGCGATGACAGATTAGATCTAGAAATTTCGAGGGAATTATCGGGTGCGTTGCCATGACACCGTATCCACAACAGGGTGGAAAGATAAGCTCTGCGAATAACGGGCCAATCGACGCGCGCCATAGCGGTCAGCTGGTCCCCGGATAGTCGGCCGCGGCGCGTGCCGATGCCAGCCCGTGCCGAGAGTCCGGGGTAACGGTCACTTTGCGAAGAAGCTTCAGCGACACCGACCCTCCGCTGCCGGCCGCGCTTTTTCAGTCTTATCACCGGCGGAAATGTTTAACAGCCTGCTCCGGGACTTCGACGAAGACCCGTTTTTCTCGTAAGTGCGCCTCGGGGTTGTCATTCTCATACGTAAAATGTTTTTGGAAGTTTATTTCGGCTCTGCGGCGGTAATCCGACCCGTCAGGTGTTCGGGTGGCCCCAGTCACTCTACACGTCCCCGCCTGGCGCGGTGCTCCTAACGGTACCGGTTTTTTCCCGGGGCGCCTGCGTCTTTTATTGCATGCAGCTTCGTAAAACTGGTATAACTTAATATTCAACATGGTGAATAATCTGCAAAAAAATCAGTTAAACGTTTTATATTATAAATAGTTAAAAACTATATAAACTCTGTTGGTTGCCTTTTATGTAAAGTATATTTGTTTTTTTATTGCTATTCTTTTGTTGAATGAGATTTAAGTTAAAAGTCTACAGTTATATCCATATACTGCGCGTATATACGTTGATCAGTTTGCCTTAAGTCCCACACGCGTGTTATGTAATCGGCTTATGTTCCTTTTCGGTGTCTGTGGGTTTTGTTTTGGCCGCTTAATAACCGGTCTGCGCGCTGGCATTCGCGCCCTGTCGTGAACGCGCTGACTGAGCACATGTCCCAGCTTGCCAGGTGGGATGTGGCCCCAACAACATCTCTGTGGTGAGGATGCGTGGCCAGGGGAGTCAATTTTAGGGATGTAAAAATACCAACATGCTTCTCAGAATATCCCTTTGTGGGGGGTGGGGGGGCAGCTTTATGTGCAAGTGGGATTTACCCCTTTTGCATTAGAAGCCTGTGTTTAGTGTTGCTTTGCAAATTTCACAGTAGGCTTGGCCGGTATCATGCTAATACAGTAGTATGATGTAATACAGTATACTGTTGCATTTTCCTAAGGCAAATTGCATGCTGGGGGGACCCCAACACTGCATGGTGGTTTGGCCACCCCCTCACCCACCACTACTCCGCTCATCGAATTTTATTGGCAAGATTTAAAAATACCATATACTGCGGTATAATGTCTGGACGGTATGACTGATACCATTATATACCAAGTCTACTTAACCCACTGCACATATAAATTTATGAGCCTGGCTTATATTTGATGGCTTGGTCATTTTGGTTTGGAGCAGTTGGGGATGATTCTGGGGGTGTCATGGGGGTGATGAGGCTTTTCATTGTTTTTGTTAAGATGTGAAGAGCCACTGTGTGGCCATTTTGTCTTCCCCCTACCCCTCAGGGGCCAGTTTCAGGCACACAACGAGTGCGTGAGGCAGATGATGCGCAGCTTTTCAGATCCCTCCGGCCGCGACTTCATGCCCATGCTGACCGACGGACGAGGCCGGCTCAGGGCGGAGTCTCACGCCAACAGAAACCTCGCCCACAGGGTAGGTACATGGGTGTTGGGCTTACAGGAGGAGGCCTGGAAATCAGAAAAACTCTCCTGAGACCTGTTGCCAGAGTGGATTCCAGATAGAGGAATAATCTGTACTACCACCTTATTTTACCACAGTATGATGTGTACATTTTTATCAGCCTGGAATTTTAGGTTCATGTTTACAAGAAAAACACAAATTACTTCTACAAAATAACTCAAGATGTTGAAGATCACACCGCACAAGTTTAAAATGTGATTCAAAAAGTTCAATATGGGATGCTTTTGAAATGCCCCTCTCCTCCCTTATAAGCCTGTATTTCAGAAATTATGAGTAGGCATGAATTCTTCCGAAGAGGTCACCAGTCAGACATGGAGAAAACTCCATGGGGTTTGGCTCCATGGCCCTAAAGTCAGTTTCTCAGCTGGCGTATTTTGGCACATTTGTATAAGGAAGTTTTGACATGGTGCTCTGTGGTACATTTTTACCCAGAGAATTAAAAAGGGGCCACAGAGGCTGAGTGTGTGTCACTGTTACCTCACATTTCCCGCACCTCTGTGTGTGCAGCTCCCACAGTCCCAACACCTTCCCTTAGACTGATTCTCTAAAGTGCCTGTAGTGATCATGTGTCCATACAGGTTCTCTGTGATGAACTGGCATCCTGTTCACAACGTACCCTTGATTTGTGTCCTACGCTAGTTGGGATAGATTCCAGTGCCCCCCCCCTCCAAAGACAGATGGAATAATAAAAAATCCTGTTTTCCAGTAACAAAGCCTGAAATAAGTCCGTGGAAGATGACGGGTAATTTTCTTGTAAAGTGCTGTCTGTAGATGTGCAGATCACACAGTGATCGACACCATCGGGGTGGTAAGGGCTGGTGGGGTAGCGGTCGCAGACAGGTGCCCCGTTTACTGGGGGCAGGGAGCTCACAGGCCTTTGTCGAGTTTTACGTTCATCTCAGCCCTGGGGGTGCAAGGCCTGAATAATTCTGTGGTTTGATCCCCTTGTGGCACGGCCCCTGAATGACCCACATGTTCTGCATCCAGGCAGATGAGTGAAATCGGTTCTAACAGTGTCTCCAAGGGAGTCAGTGTCTGGGTATCAAAAGGGGGCAGAGAAAAGAGCACAAAAGCCAAGGTTCGTCAGGGTCATGGATCCAGCACCCGGAGAAGAGCCTCAGCCCTGTAACCCAACACCCCACTGGCACTACTGTGCTTATGGAAGCTGTTAGCAGAGGGCAGGTCACAGAAGGGCAGGTGCCTGCCCATCCGTCTCCACCCTTTATCTTTAGCGGGGGGTGGTATTTATAGGCTTGCTGGCCCACGCCGTTTCATTGACATGTGGCTCTTTTGCTGAAATGGCCCTACAGTTCCTCTGAGGTCACGCTGTCCAAACATTCTGCACTGCACCCAGATCACATATTTTTATTAAAGGTCTCACTTGCTGTCTGTATGCTGCCTGCTGTCTGAGTGAAGTCGTCTTCCCAGGATCGCTTTGAGTGCTCCGTTAAGGGTTTCTGCACATTTCAGCAGATATCTGTCATCGGTATTCGGGTTCTCCTTTCACAGAATAATGATTCTGTATCTAGTGAGACAGAAAGTAATGGGAAAAACGGAAAACGAATCCTTAACCCCTTTAATGAAGGCGACCAGGAGGTGCTTCTGAAAAGTGCTGTCTATAAATGCTTCCCTCAGGCTCTTGTTAAAACAGAGGAGTGGAGTACAGAGTTGAAGGGCAGAACAGAGAAAGGGTGTTTAAATGGCGCATTGGAGTATAGGGGAGTGTTAGGACCACCTGCATCGCCACCCCGTGACAGTCAGCTGTACGCTCCGGATGCTGCAGGGAGCTAAACATGGCGGCTGCACCCTGTGCTAATCCTCCTGCTCTCCCTGTGTCCTGTCCGCTTATCCTTTATAATTACTTTGATTGGGTGGCAGTCACCCGACAGGCATGTGACCTTCCTTCTGCTGAGGATGCTTCCTTTTGCTGAACCCACTTACCCCTTCGCGGTGACGGCTCCATGACGCTGGCTAAGGAGGCCAGCCAGCCCACCGGGTCTCTGCTGAGCTGTTGTTGGAGGGGCAGGTCGCTTTTGTCCCTGCGGCCCCGCCCACATTAGTTCACACCTGTCCATTTAAGTCCCATTTGTCCATATCAGCCCAAAACCTACTTATATCTGTTGCCATCTCTTGCAGGGTTGGTAGCCATGACAGATTACTGCTTTCCTGCAGTTTCAGGCATGCTTTTGCAATCCCCTTCTGATACGCCCCCCCCATTCCACCCTACTCCACTCCACACACTAGTGGGCACTTTGCCCCGAGGACCTGCCATCTGGCCACATCCTCAGCCATCATGCTGGTGAAGCTGTAGGCTCCTCGATTCCATGGTGTTTGTTAATATCAGGTTTCCTTCCAGGCTCTTCTCTCAACAGCCAGATTTCTTAATATTGTGTTTCATAGGACGCTTTAAACTGGGCTGGGGGAAAGCAGGCAATGACTGGCAGTACCCATCTCTGCAGGCTACTTCACCTGAACACAGAGTGTGTGTGTGTGTTTGTGTGTGTGTCTGCACGTGTTTACCTGGCTATCAGTGTAATCAGAGCCTGCTTCACTAGCCTAAGCATGAGCCCTTTCCTGGTCTCCTTCATTCAGATGGCTGCAGCAGTGAAGGAGCCTCACATTTGCAGAATGAAGCTGGCTGTGGCCTTTAAAACGCCGCTCTGGGGTGTAGTGTGAGATGCCAGGCACTGACAGGCTGGTGGGGAGAGTGAGCCGACGGGTCGTGAGCCCTGCACTATCCCAGGCTTCGTGCAGCTCTGGCTGAGGCGCTAAAAATCACCACCTCCAGCTGGTGGCTTTCGCAGCCTAAAAATATGGCCCGTGCCCCTTGGGACTTTATTAGTTCATGAACCCTTGCACAAGTGTCAATAGTTTCATATCAGCATGACCTTTCAGAAAGAGCTGACGCTGTGACTTATCTGCATTGGAAGAGGGACCCATGTCTTTGCTAAGCCCCTGCTAATTACCCTGCACCTTCAGCATTGTTCTGTCCTGACACTGGCTGGCTCTGGGGCCTGTTGGTGCTGCCTTCTCTGCTATGTCAGAAAACCAGTCTGCTGTCCTTTGGCACAGAGGTACCTGTTTGTGCTGCTTACTGGGGTCAGCTTGACTGTAAGGCAGTTGAGGAGGCCTGTCAGGTGTAACCCTGGTTTCCTGTGGCATCAGGGAATGTACTTGTCTCTTTTGCCTTTCAGTGTTAATGACAGTTAATATGAGAAACCTTACCCTCTCTCTGCAGCTGACTGCTGGGATGCTCTGCCTTTTCCAGCTTGTTTTCTGGGTGCTTTTGGCATGGTCATACCAGCTTAACTCTCAGACTCTGTTTGTATCAGGTATAAGTATCTGTTATAACAGCAAATATATGAGGTCAACTGCACACACTGCGTGTGTGTGCTGGAGGAAGGTGTGAAGAACAGGCGTGTGTGTTCCTCTCTTGCTGGCTTTTTGGCCCACTGGCAATATTCATCAGTCTATTGGCCCAGCTGACTCATGCTAGCAGATTTGCAGCCCCTGGCAGAGGCCCAGGGTGGAGCTGAGATGGATTCCCTGAAGCTGTGTGGTCAGTTACAGGCCCTCATTGCAGCAATGGGATGATGTGTGGTCAGTTACAGGCCCTCATTACAGCAATGGGAAGCCACGTGGTCAGTTACAGGCTTACACCACAGCCAAGGGAGCTTGTGTGGTCAGCCAGATCAATGTAAAACAGGCAGCAGAGGACCTAGGGTGCAATAGTACAAGCATAATTTATGGTACATTTCATTAGGAATACTTTATGAAGAATGGGGAACACCGTACTGTATGATTCATTCAAGATTGTAACAGAGAATTAATTTAAAGGGAGATTTACTCTGACCAACTGTAAGTTCTTTATTGCATAGGGGAATAAGTCTTCAATGTGATCATTGTATGTCATTCCCTCAAATGTAAAAAGAACTGGAGTCATATTGGTGGATGGAAGATGAATAGACCTAGAATGTTAACAGAATGAAACAGAGATGGTGGATTGTAAACTTCCTCTTCTCATTTCAGGATGTGGCCTTCAGGAGCCCTTTCAGTATGATGGACAACATGATGTCTCAGATGAGGAGCAGAATGGAGGAGGTGCACAGTAACTTTGTGAGTCACGGCATACTGTTTCCGATCCCTCACTCCAGATGTTTCTTCCCTTGTTGCTGCTGTCATTCTCCTATTCTGAACATTCACCTTGCATCTGCCAACACCAACATTTTCAGGACAGAACAGACTCTGCAGACTCCAGTGCCCACTCCTTCAGCTCATCCTCTGTGATGACCTACTCCAAAGTGGGCAGCGATCCGGCCAAGGTCTTCCAGGCCTCCAGCCAGATGCGCCGAGCCCCTGGGGGGGTAGGTACAGTGAAGGAGGTCTTTAAATGCGAAGAAGAATCTGGGATCAGTGATGACAGGGTCATGAACCCTAAGGGTTTTCAGACTAACCTGTGTTGTGCTGTTGTTTTGATAAAATGTCCAGATGCATACATTGACAAAAATTTAGGCCACTTTTTTGAAGGAAAGCATTCACTCAAATAATAGATTGAATTATTCCAAATTCACTGGAAGGTATAACACTCTAACTGGCCATCATTTAGATCTAATGACAATCTTTTTGGTTGGTTTTGAGTTCAGATTAAGGAGACCAGACGATGCATAAGGGATTCAGAGAGCGGCACGGAGAAGATGGCCATCGGACACCACATCCATGATCGGGGGCACGTAATCGAGAGGAGTCATAATCGGCAGACCGGGGCGAATGAGCTGAATCAGGACTTTCAGAATCTCGATGAATGTATGCATGAGTGCGATCTGACAGAAAGACATTCTCCCTCGGCCCCGCTTAGCCTGGCCTTTGAACCCTGTACCTTCATACCAAAACTGTGGCTGACCTTTCACATGTGTCCTTTATAGCTGAAGCGCAGTCTTTCGACCAGGAGTGGCAACGGGAAGTGTCCAAATTCCATTCATGTGCCCCCATGTCCCAGCTGGAAGCCCCCAGACCGAGAGCTGTACACCGTGCAGCCATCGCTGACTCATATGGTGCGAAGAGGTCAGTGGTCTGGGGTCGCTGCAGCGCGTAGCTCCCGATAAAAATAGATGTTTATCTGTTTACCGTTTCATTCACTGTGCTGGTGTTTTTTCCCAGAGACAAACGAGAGCCCAATGTAGGCAGAAAGAAAACATACATGGAGGAGCTGAACGTGAAGGGCACTGGAGTGAAAAAACAATAAGCAAAGGATGTGGGCAACAACATTCTGGTGATTTTACACGTGTCCAATGTGTCCAAGACAAGCTCCTCTCTCTCTTGACAGTCACCCATTAGCTGCCTGGTAGCCACTGACTTCACAGCCAGAGAGTGCTGTCTGAATCTGATCCACTCTGGCACTTTATCCATCCAAACAGCTGCATGTTCTAAACCTGAACTTCTGCACCGCAGTGTTTGTGGAGATGGTCATCGGCACATGCTCCGGGGATCAAGGAGTCATTTACCCTGCAGCTGCCAAAAAAACCCCACAAACAAAATACCAGGAACATGTTCTTTTTTCACTTATGAAATAAAGATACATTTTCTAAGATTTATCATGCTTTTAAATTATACAGCATTTCAGTTTAAACATGTATGCATAACATTTCCTTTTTCAGAATCAAAATGTACGTATGTTCAAGTTTATAGTTTCCAATGCACTTAGAGATACACTTTTCTGTTTGTATGTTTTGGCCATTGATCTTGTAATATCTACTATAAGATATATTTTATGGAAAAATGTCCATGAATACAGGTTTTATATTCTCACATGGTGTGTGTTGCTCTCCTTTAGTGTGAAGCTGTGCAGGGGTCTACCACACTTAATGACGAGGGAAAACGGACAGTTGAATGCTTAAATCTTATTTGTTAAAATATTTACAAAAATGAGTTTCTGGATTAAGCATTTTTGTAGCCAAATAAATCTTTAAAAATCATTCTACTGTGTTTGTGTTTATTGTTTGTCTGGGCACATTGTATGTAATTATTTCACCCTGATTTTATCTATCATTTTAGGGGTGTAGTACTACTACTGGAGCACAAGGTGGCATAGTAGCTACAAACATAGGCTTGTAACATAAAGGGTTCTGTTGGTGCACCCTTAAAATGTATTCATTTGCTCCAGTGAGCTTTCCAGGTGTATATATAGGTATAAACTATAAATAATGTTTGGTAAACATGTCCTGTGTCAACTGTCTTAAAAATATATATGCAGATGAGGTTTACTTTACATTAACTTCCTTAAGGACTTTTTGGTATGGCTGGAAAGGCATCAAAAATTAGCTTTTTTTTCTTTTTAATGGGATATAATTTGATTTTGCAGCGCAAAAGCGTGTAATATTCACAAACGTTTATATTATAAATACAGGTGGGATATTTTACACTGCCACTGTAGTCTTTGATCAGCTAAAGAAGTAAAGCAGTTGATGAGTCCGCCTTTCCACAAGGAGTCGCCAGTGTACGAACAGAAACATGAGCGAATCACTTTTCGAGCTCTCTTGAACCGTCCGACATGCCGTATGCCGGAAGTGTTGTTACGCAGCAAACCGGCGTGACTTTCACAGTCCGACGTCTGTTTAGGGGTTTAGCCGGCAGGGTAGGGTTCGTGTAATATATCACTTAAAATGCAGGTATTAAGAGCAGGGCTAACCTTGTGTCGAAGACATTTAAAAAAGCCAAGGACATTAATTTTAAAAGACGTAAGATATATTTTCCCATTAACTAACTAATCGGGTTGTCGGTTATTGTGTACTATTTAGCGAGCAATGCTAATTGGTTAGATTGCGGGTTGGTGACCCGGCGTTCATTGCCCATGGGTCAATACATGTGCTGTCAGTATGCATTTTGACATATCTTATACCATGCATAGATATTTTTATTAAACTGTTAAAATTGATTTCTTACCATTACTGGTTATGCTCTAAATACTAAATGACATATTATTTACTCCTTTCTGTGCCGGTTATTTTTAATATTAAAGGATAAATCAAGTTTTTTTTTTTTTAATTCCCCACAACAAAACTTTGTGGACTGAAAGTTTATAGTTCATAGAATGTTTGGTAATTGTAAATGTGTTGTGTACTCCTGGACTGTCAGATCTTGCTTAGAATACAGTAAAATTCCAGTTGACATAATCTGAAACTTAACTTAGTATTAACACAAGCCATTGCATTGGTATAGGTGTATAGGCGTGATTTTAACCATAACTGACAAATGTGCCTTATGTTCTCTCAGTGCACCGACGTGTTTCTCTACTTCTGCAGGTGTTAGTGAGCAGCCATCGGACATGTACCTCAGGCATCATTCCCAACGAGAAGATTCGCAACATCGGCATTTCCGCACACATAGATTCAGGGAAGACCACGCTGACTGAACGCGTGCTGTTCTACACGGGCCGGATAGCCGAGATGCATGAGGTACTGACGGAGGCCACCTTCCACGTAGCTTACAGATCGTTGTCAGATTCAGCAAACAAGGATCTCAAATCTGTGAATGCATGAGATTAAAATCCAAGGAAATCAGGCTGATGTTTTCTCTCCTTGAGACACACAAGTACAGTATATAAAGTGATGACAGGTTTTGGTTAGAATGCTGGGTGGGTCAGTGTCCCAGGTTAAAGTTATTGGCCTGAGGCCCAATGGTGACATGGTACCTCTGCCAGCTACAGGATCTGAACCCCTGACCTACTGAGCACAGATGTCTGATGACATGTGAGTGGTGTAGTTGTAACGAGCTTTGTTGCGTCTGTCAATGGGGGCGCCCCCTAGGTGAGGGGTAAGGATGGTGTGGGTGCCATTATGGACTCCATGGAACTGGAGAGGCAGAGGGGTATTACCATCCAGTCAGCCGCCACCTACACCATGTGGAAGGAGCTCAACATTAATATCATAGACACACCAGGTATGCGTCTGGTCGGCCTTTCTGCGGCGGTGGTGTCCAAGCCCGTGATTGGCGCAGTATATTGTCCTACCGTCTCAAGCATAGCACTTGGTTTTCAGTACAGTAACTGTGGCTGTGATCAAATTAGTCACGGTTCATCTTGTGCAGCAATCTGCTTATGTTTGCTTCTGTACCCAGTCATTTAGGATGGCATGTCTCTCTTCACTTTCTCTCCCCTTTTGTTCTCCCTCCTCTTTCTTTCTGGCATGTTCTCTTCCTCTTTTCTGTACCCTCCAGGCCATGTGGACTTCACCATTGAAGTGGAGCGGGCTCTCAGGGTCCTCGACGGAGCGGTCCTGGTTCTGTGCGCTGTGGGCGGGGTCCAGTGTCAGACCATGACGGTGAACAGGCAGATGAAGCGCTACAACGTGCCCTTTCTGACCTTCATCAACAAGCTGGACCGCCAGGGGTCCAGCCCCACCCGTGCGCTGCAGCAGATGAGGTGCCTACTGCCTGTGATCCTGAGTCACTTATGGATGTGGTGGGTTTGCATGCCTGGATGGTCTCTAAAGCCCAGACCTCTCCCACTGCACGCAGGACCAAGCTGAACCACAACGCAGCCTTTTTACAAATCCCCATTGGCCTGGAAGGAAACCTGCGAGGCATCGTGGACCTCGTCGAGGAACGCAGCATTTACTTTGAGGGCCCCTTTGGGTAAGGGCTCCCCCATGTGGCCAAACTCAGAATTGCAGTCCTAAAATGTATGGGGGAGGGGCAGAGACTAGGGGAGTATATGTGGTCAAAGGCACAAAGAAATGGCAATTCAGCAGTTTCACCTGAAATAAGAAGGGAATTCCAGAGGAGAGCTGAGGTAAATTTTTATTTTTAGCTTGTTTTATCTTGCGATTTTGTACCTGCTCCACAGACAGAGTGTGCGATACGACGAGATTCCGTCAGAGCTGCGGGCTGAGGCGAGGGACCGGAGGCAGGAGCTGGTGGAGAGTGTGGCCAATGCAGATGAGACCCTGGGGGAGATGTTCCTGGAGGAGAGGACGCCCAGCGTGGCTGAGTTGAAGGTGCTCAACATGAGCGTCACACACTCACACTCACATCCAGTCTTTGTGGGATGTTCCCATTAACTTCCGTTTTATAAACCCAAACCAATAAACCCCAATAACAGATGACTCTTTATTCCAAATAACAGCAAAGAAAATTATCCTTTCAGGACTAGATAACACAGAAGGAATAACACAGAAG